AATTTACCTTCATCTGTCACATGCAGCTGCGCAAAGCCGCTTCCTCACTGTCCAATATGGCTGAAACACCTGCTAACACCCCCCCCAGTCTTCCCTCCCACATGTGCACACACACTGCTCTTTCTCCCCCTCTCAAACATCCCTCCCACCCTTTCCGAAGGCTCATTCTTGCCGATCCAGCAGAAGCCCCGATGCTGTAGTAACGTCCTTGCCCTGAACAAAAGAAATCAGGTGACCCTATCGAGATCCAATAGACACGCACGCTCTCTCTCTCTCTCCGTGTCTGTGTCGCGCGCACACACACACACACACACACACACCACATCGGCCTCAGTCAATGTGTTCCGGTGGAGTGGGAGGTAAACACAGATCTGGCTGAGCTTCTGCATTGACTTGTTAGAGGAACTCATGGTCTGTTTGATTACATGTAACATACAAGTGGAACAAAGCAGCGGTGGCAGCGTACAATTCCCTCGTCACCCGCTCCCTCCCACGCGCAGTTACACCCCTTCCAATTTCACTCCCGTCACTCCCTCATCCACCTCTGCTTCACCTCAGCCTCCCTCTTTCCTCACCCCCTCGACGTGACACACCTCTTTCTCTTCTTCCCTCCCTCCGTTCATTAATTGATTCATATCACCTGAGCCTCTACCCCTTTCTCCTGAAAATGACAGCAGCCCCGCCCGCCCCCCCCAGGCCTCGACGGGAGAACGCCGCAGCGCTGCGCCTGCCGTCTTCACAAATCACTGGGACCTTTCACGCTCGCGGAGGTCGCGGTTCATCCGATCCGACATGTCCTTGCCAGCCGAAGATGGACCAGTGCATCGGGGCCCCGCCAGCGGGGCAGAAATAAGGCTGCATCAATCACAGACAATTAGTCCCAATAGATGCTTGGGAGGGTGGAGCGCTACTCCGCTGCCAATCTGGCAATTGCTGGTAAACCCCAAATTAGTCAGTCAGATTGCCGCTTAGTACTAATTTTCATTACTGATTCAGTAATCATATGATATAGGAGTGGGATTTAATAATGGATAGTCTCTTTAATTATGTTTTGTTCGAGTTAACAGCAAACAGAGGCTTTGCATCTCGCTGTAACAGGTTTTTAAAGTAGATGGCATATCATTGCAGAAATAGCAAGAACACTTAACAGTCCAGTGAAAGGGAACGTTTGAGCGATGCGTAGTTACATTAGAGATATCAATAAAATCCTTTGCATTTGATTGGACCGCTAAAAAGTGGGCGGGCCTAGAGTTTAGCGCTAGAGCTGCAGACACTCCTCCCTTGTTGCCAAGAGTTGCAGATTGATGGATGGATGTCATGCTGTAACTGGTTTCAATCGATTGGTACGATGACATACTTCATATTTTGTTTTATGATTTTGATATATAAATACACAAAGAAATACATTTTTTTGTAATTTATTTGCGTACATTGTTAAATAGATGCACAAAATGTCCTGGGATGTGACCCAAAGGGGTTTAAAAAGTATTTTTCCACTTCATCTACAGTCTAAGTAAGCTTAAGGCCAGATGAGTTAAACCCATCTACAGATTGCCTCTGCCTCACCTTAAAACTAAAAAAAAAAGGATTTTCAGGATTATTCTGCAAAAACCCAAATAAATCAATTAAATGGTTATGGAAACCAAAAGGCCTGGTTAAGCAAACGTTGCTTGTAGCTCTGAAGGTTCGGACCGAACACAACACAGACCTGAGAGGTTTGCGAGTATAGTCAATGAAAAAACTTGAGGTGACTTTTAAAAACACACACACGCACACACCAACGGAGTCAATGGTTACGTTGTGACGGAATTAAAGCTGCAGTCTCAAAACATTGCACGACGGAAAGCTTTACTTCTCGCTCTGCTGCGTAAGAGACTTCCTGCACTGACACGGGGCCTTGGCGGAGGAGTCCCTCTGTACTTTTAACCTTCAAGACAAGACGGACGCTGACAGAAACAGAAACATACATGTATTTAACAGTGGCGCTATGTTAGGAGTGGGCTTCTCAGCTTGTAGACCAGTCAGTGTGTTTCCGGCATGTTTCGTGGTGCGGACACGGGGACCCGAGAGGTTTTGGAAGGCAGTGCTGCAGGTAAACAATAGGCCGAATGCCTGCCAAGAACACGGTGCGTTCTGACACGGCATCAAACAAAAAGCTCAGGGTGATCCCACAAGTTAGGCCGACACTCAATCACTCCGCTGTTCCCCATCACTCTGCCTCTGTTGTTCTGTACCTAGCTCGTGCCCTCTCTCGGCTTGCTGCAGAATGGATGCATGCGGAGGGAAGGGAGGGAGGAGAGAGAGGGAGGGAGGAGAGAGAGGGAGGGAGGAGAGGGGGAAGTAAATGAGATCCCGATGAGATGCCATGGTGTGTTAGCGGTGAGGTGTGGGGGAATGAGAAAAAGCGGCCTGAAGGAAGGGAGGGCGGGAGGGGCGAGTGGCTGGATTGACTGTGTGTGTGTGTGTGTGTGTGCGTGCGCGTGTGTGTGTGGGTGCCGGCGTGGGATAGCTTAGCTCCGGCTCTGCCTGCACAGAGCGGCGCCGGTCGTGTCTGCGTTTGCCAAGTCAGCTCAGGATGCATGTACATGGGAGGAGGAGAGGAGGAGAGGAAGGTGACATATGAGGACAGGAGAGTAGAACAAAGGAAAACAGGAAGCGCAAAGGAAAACACAAGTACAAGACAAGAATGCAGTCACGGGGAAACGCTGTTGGCACACGAGGAGAAATGAAACGAGAGCAAAGACAAACACGACGGGACATTTCAAGAAACTGTGACTAAAAGCCACTAAAGGGATTTGAATACGAACAAGGACAGTCTGCAAAGTTCATGAATAATGATCAAAGAGCAACATAAATACTGTAATATAACATAATAGGAGGTTTAAAAAGAAAATACAAAGAACGGGAAGACTTGTGCACACGCTTCCTCTGTTACAAACACAGCTCCCATGGCGTTTCACACATACACAGGCAGGTGAATCGCATCATCCAATATGGATACAACAGAAGAATTTTTTTGTTTTTGTTTTAAAGAGTAGGAATTCCCTCCAGTGTTTCCTCCATCTCCCAAATCTGCTCGAGCAGAAAAAAGGATTCGCTGCCAATAGAAGCCTTCGGGAGCACATTGCCTTCACTGCAATTAATCTCCATCACAACATCAATTAAACAAAAGCTAGCATCCAAATCTGGCTGCCCAGCATTCCAGGGATACAAATCAATCTGGCAAGGAGCGCTCGAGGGGGATAGTGTGCGTAAATGAAATATGTGTCTCCGTCTGTCCGCACGCACAAAAGGGGGGCCCTTAAGTGGCAGCAAATGTCAAAGCCACTGCATGCGTTTCATGAGAGAGCTCGCATGCGAGCCGCTGCTGGTGCTGCTGGCATCCGATCCGGAGTTGCGTGTGTGCCGCCAGTGCATTAATGTGTGTCAATGATGTATGGCTGTGAAGTGTGCCGCTCTGGACTATACGTGTATAGTGTACTGTATGGATCTAAAAAAAATCCACTCAGCTATACCTTACCAATAAAAGCCCCTCTTTAGAGAGAGAGAGAGAGAGAGAGAGAGAGAGAGAGAGAGAGAGAGAGAGAGAGAGAGAGAGAGAGAGAGAGAGAGAGAGAGAGAGAGAGAGAGAGAGAGAGAGAGAGAGAGAGAGCCTGGGGGTCTGAAGCCATTATGTTCTTTTCCACTTCACAATCTCTGAACTGATTAGGAACCCTTCCATGGCTTCACCTGAGCCGGCCGGTTAGAAACACACACACACACACACACACACACACACACACACACACACACACACACACACACACACACACACACTAGATGTGCCATACTCTATGCTTATTAGTTTGGACAAATACATGTTACATAGATCTACGGTATCTCGGCTGAAGGTGTTTATCAGTGGAGACCCAGGCTGCAGGTAAACTGTGAGACCACAGCAGCAGCTCCCTCACTCTCTGACACACTTCAGTGCAGCACGGGGGGGGGCAATTAAACGAGCCAGCAATCCAGATCCGGATCATCAGCATTTAATCTCGATTAAAAAAAAAAGATGTAAACCTCAGTGAATCGTATACACTCTTCTCCTGCATTACTGTTTCGATAATTATTCTTTGTTTAGTGCTGACGGAAAGACAAGAAGAAAGTAACTTGAGAACAATAAAATGGCTGTTTTGTTAAGAGAAGAACTGTGCTGGAATATATAAAAGCAGAGTTGCATTCAGTGGGGATAAGCAGTGAGGCGGCAGCCTCCTAATGCATCCTGTCGTCCGTGGCCACAGCATCAGTGACTGTCAAAGAGGAGCAAAAGACAAAGAAACCAGTTGCACAGAGATGCAATAAAAAAAATATCTAAGTCATTGCGACAACAGAGCGGGGATTTATTTATTTTTCTGGAGGAGCACGGTCGCCTGAAGGGAGCTGACTTTATACATGAGAAGCGGGATGTGGGAGCAGACAGTGGTCCTGCTGTGTGCCAACGGGGACAAGAGACTCCGTTTGTGTCTCTAGAAACAAACCATTAAACAACTCATACAGTCCTTTAGTTCACAATCCGCAACGCTGGAGTGGATGCTGTAAATGACAAACGATTGGGGTTTTTATTATATGCTATTGTACTTAAGTGTCTTTTTTTTTTCTTTTTTTTTACAAGCAATTGAGTGACAAAAAAAAGCTGACAATCTGAATAAACCCTATTTGTTGAGTTATTCAGGGGGACGCTTTGAGCATAAATGTGCCAGCTTCATGAGACGCGTCTCTCCACAACCTGGCATAAAAAAAATTAAAAAAAGATGTTCTCCTTCACGTGCGCGTCTGGTTTTAAAGCGATTTACAGGCAGTTTTAACTAAACTACTATCCGAGCCCTCATCAGTGGAACGACCTGCACCTGGTTCCGATCACAGGACAAACACCAAAACTATCTCCGCCGAGGACATCCGTCTGCCGATCAACGCTGTGGCGACCCGGTTTGGATACAAAACCAAAAAAAACACACACATACCTTCCTCGGCGTGACAGTCTCCCTCAATGTTCAGCAATAATATCCAAATCATCGACACCAGCGTTTTACGGAGATCCATGTTTTTTCTGGCCAGTTCCGCGGGGCTCTTGTCATCTCTCTCCAGCCTGCGCGCGACGCACCGCAGCAGAGATGCACTCACGAGCGCTTCGAACGGAGCGGATTGCCGTCTGGGCAAATAGTGCGGGGGCTCCGGAGCCACGCGTCCTATTTGTTATCTCGGGGGAGGGTTTTGCAGACGTGATTGACACCGCGCGAGCGCAATGGCGGCGGGGTTGTCAGAGTCGGGGGTGGGGGGTGCACACAGGAAGGGTCGAACCTATCGCGGAGCTGCGACCTGAAATCTGCGCGCCAGGTGTTTCCCCGCTGTGGTCGTCAGAGTCCGACCCCTCAGGAGTGTCTTACTAACGGTCCTCTTATAGGACGCGGAGGGGGATCGTAAGTTAGGACGCGTCACTCCGTCGGAGAGTTTAGAGTCCTGCGCTTGTTTTATCATCTAGAAGTGTGCGGTAAGGGTCCTAAAAGGGGGGTCCAGGTGGTCTTCAGTTTGTTTTCAATCAAGTGGTTTGCACTGAGGTCCAAAACAGAATTAAATAACACAGAAAATACATTTTGCACACCTTGGTTGAATCCAGTTAAACGCTGCTTTTCATTTTTGATGAGTTCCCAATTTTGTCAGTTAAGTTAATTGTTGTTATTGTTTCTGTTGACAACATCCAACGAATCAGACGTTAAAGCCATTATTAGAGGTACAAAGTCCGACTAAGAAGGATGCAGTGATGATTGGCTACCCCTCAGGGACCTGACCCGGGAACAGTTATTTGTTTAATGGTTATTTTTAAAGGCACAAGTGGACCAATGCCAGACACCACAGCATTTATAGCAGAAGCTGTGGTTTGGCCATCCTTAGACAACTCAGTGCATATATGCAAGACAATATACTAGACAAGGACGCTCTGGGAGCGCAGACCTACGCCAAGGCCTTTATCTGCAAACATCATCATGCAGCACGACAACAGAACAAATGACACTCTAAAACAAAAGTGAAAATATAACATCTGCATCAGTGTACCCAAATCTGTAGCGCGAATACTTAAAAAGTCCCACTCGACATCTGCGTAATTGACATAGTTTAACACTCTTTCTTTCACACCGATAGTCCACAAATGGACTCGAGACAATTGTCTATAATGGAAATCCCCTCCCTCCTCTGGGGACTATTGATTTGATGCTATACTTAAAGTGAGGAGACGCGTTCATAGTGTTCAGCACCGAGCTAACATTATCGAGCTTTGCTACCTGGTTTGTTTGTGAATCTTCAGACGGCAGGAGAGCAAGAAGATGGGAAAAAACATTGAGGAAGCTTCAAGGTTTTGCATCATTGTAACACACAGACGGCACTTAAAGGTCCCTCGCTCTATGTCTGGTACAGCAAGTATGCACAAGCACGCGAGCAGTTTATTGCTGACTGACAAGCACGAAGCACTTGGGTTGAATCTACAATCGGTTCAGTCTTTCCTGAAAGCTGATAAAAAAAATACGCAGCTCAATGCATTCAGAAATAAGTTCTCATTATTTTGCTTAAAGAACAATTCAGGCTAATTACTGTGTAATCATGTGTAATTACTGTATGTCCTCAAAAAAAAAGTCTTTGTATTGCGTGAAACAGACCTCGCTCTTTATGCACTCGGCTCTCTGTGTGAAACCTGAATGCAGAGTTTGGGTTCCATTCACTTTTAGTTCAAAGCTTAAAAGCATGACTTCCTCAAAAACACAAACTGGCCGTAGAATTAATGATATCGAGTCTCCACTTGGCAGCTCCTCAGTATGTAACCCCAGTGGTGTACAGTAACGAAGTAGAAATACTTCGTTACTGTACTTAAGTCATTTTTTTGGATATCTGTACTTTACTTTACTATTTATATTTCTGTTGACTTTTACTTTTACTTCACTACATTTTGCAAAGAAAACTGATACTTTGACTCCGATACATTTCCCCTGAAACCTTCGTTACTCGCTACAAAATCAAATCTATCTTTAGAAACAAAATGAATCATGAGACCAGCGTCGGGGACTGTGGTGGAACACAGACTGCAAGCAAGCAGGTTTGGTGAATCAGTGGTCCTAGCTTGCAAGTTAAATCATTGGTTAATCACATTAATGCGCAAAACAAGTGCTCTCAAAGCCGCTGCGTTTAGATTCCCAGTGATGCCCAGGATGCTATATGCTATAGCTAGCAAGCGACTAAATGAGCAGACTTCCACTCTACGATGACTGATTTCATGACGGAAGCAGAAATGGAAGCACCTGCTACTCCCGCAACAAACTACGGTGGTGACGAAGACTAACACCTGTGGATCGCTAGCGAGTTAGTGAGCCGAGGAAGTGTTGACAGTTGTGAGATTTTGTTGATTTGAGCCATCTTAGCTATAATCATTGCAGCACTAGTTGGCTAACGTTAGCTAACTGCTAGCCACCACACCATAGGATTGACAGGAGCCGCGAGAGCGCAGCATTAGGGGAATCCTTCCCAGCTGTGCGCAAGCTGTCTGTGAAGCTGAACACACCTCTACCTGCCTCAGCAGCCTGTGAAAGGCTGGTTAGCATCGCAGGACTAGTCTTCAGCCCAAGAAGAGCGAGACGGAATTCTCGCAATTTTGAAAACCAACTTCTTTTGAAGATGAACAGGACATTTTTCAGTTTCCAGTAATGACTGGGTTGTTACTTTCGGTGCTGCTTTAGTATTGATCATGTTTTGATATTTGAGTCATTTTGTGGATGATCAGATGGAGTTATGATGGTAACAGTCGCCCAATTGCAGATTCAGCTTGAGCAAAACCTTTGCCTATTGTGTTCAGATCAGGCCCATAGGAGTTTACAAGGCAGGTGTCCTTTCTCACAACACTGACCTGATGCATCAAGTGGATATTCTTTGCTGAACACAATATTATGCATTTGCCCTCTACATCCTCTAGTCGGAATGAGCATACTTATAAACGCACTGTTACAACTCCTTCATAGTGTCATATTGCTTTACGGAGAATTATGATGATAAGTTCATAGTAGATGCAAAAGTATACTTATGTACAATATATTATGTTGAACATTGTTGCTCCTGGATGGATCACAGCCAACCCAATTATTGTCAACACAGCTCCATGTCCTTGGTCATGGTGCCACAGCACTTAAAAGAATAAACTTCATAATTCTCAAAATTCTGACCCTTTGCTTTTTTATTAACAGCATTTACTTGTACTTTTACTTTCAATACTTAAGTACAATAAATATCAGAAAATTACTTTTGATACTTAAGTACAATAAATATCAGATACTTTAAGACTTTTACTCAAGTAGTATTCTAATAGGTGACTTTCACTTTTACTGGAGTCATTTTCCAGTAAGGTATCTTTACTTTCACTCAAGTATGGCTTTTGGGTACTTTATACACCACTGTGTAACACCAGCATCGACGATTTCGCTGCTTTTCAAACTTTAATGACGTGCTAATGAAAAGGCTGGTCAGCTCGTCCCGCTTTTCCTCTCAAGCGAGCCCCTGCTGCTGCCGGACATGAAATAGCTTTGTGACAAATGCAGTGAGTACTTTTACTCAAACTCACCCTCAAAGTGCAACAGTAGGAGCACGCGCAAAAAAACGCTGTCAACACTATACGCTCCACGATCAACGGTTAAGGCTCATTATCGCTGTCAGCCTCCTCTCCATCCCTGCTCTTTCTGCTCCACCACAGGCTCACACACACACACACACACACATGCACGCATACACTCACGCGCAGATTACGGGGCCATCAGTCTGACTGATCCTCCCCAGCAGGGGGGCTGGTAGCCTCGGCTCTGGGAGCTGATGAACATGATCATCTGTCCTCCTCTGTGGTCATTACTCACCAAGGACAGAGGCCAACAGCCCCCGCTCACTCACTCCTAGCTGCTCCCCTCACAGTCCATTACGCACTGCAACAGTCTCTCGGTCTCACGCCACATAAACGCCACTGCCACATCTGCTTACATTTTTAAACATGTCAATTCTTATAGTCAAAGGATAAGGATGGTGTTTTTTTTTTGTACTGCTCAGCAGTTTTCTAAAACAGCTGGGCACTGTAGTTTTTACCAAACATGACTCAATCAGGACCAAATTGCTTATTTGCCAGGGACTATTTTAGACTGCGCATTAATACTCACTAGTGAGTTCTTTTGGCAGCAGGACAGTAACAGTAAGAAAAACCTACAATGCCCACATGTATATTAATATAGTAATGTGTCAGCAGGTGCAACAGTGTGGGTCACTGATGTGTTTTTTAATTGTTATTGGACAAGAGCTGAGGTTTGTGGCACGGAGGAATAAGCTTAAACAGCTCTGGGTGCAAACGCAACAGGCTATTTGTTTGTTGGTCTTTTCATGGGAATTGTGGACAATAAGAGATAATAGAATAATGTCAGCATTAAGCGTCTAAGAAAAGCTCCAGCTACATTTCACATGATTGCTTTCTCGTTGCACACATACACAACACATGCTCACACACGATGGCTAAATCGGCTGCCATGTGTTTGCATTATTGATCAGCAATACAACGACCAGGGGAAAAAAAAAAGGTTGTGAATCACAACCTGGAAGCGTCCAGGGGGGGGGGGGGCGTTGAAGCAGTAAATAGATGTTACACATATATGTTCACGCAGCTCAGTTTTGCAGGTTCATTACCATGCTGCAATTTCACGCTGATGCTCTCTGCTGGCCCCGCCCTCTCTGCTCCCCCTCCTCACACATTAGTGGGAGAGAGGGGGAGGAGAGGGAGAAGAGGCACTTGACCTTTTTGGTTTCCTTGGCCGTTTCCCCGGTCATCCAAGCAGAACGACGGGGGAACAAAGAGATAATGGGAGGAGAGGTGTGTGTGTGAGCGCACGCACGAATACGGGCATGTTAGTGTACACACACTCTCAATCGCACAAGTGTGACTGTTTAAGAGTGCGTCCTCGCTAAGCTGGCTGAAATCAGAAAATTCTGATTGGAAAAACTACCTGAAATAAAGAGCGTTTTTTGTAAAGAACTCCGATCAGAAAGAAACATAAGCAAATAATGACCTTGTGTGGTAAGGAGAGGGACAGACCCGGGTACTCTTCTGAGTGTCAGCTGTTCTGGCAAGTCAAGGTTCATGGCTAACACACATACCATGTAAACCACAAAGGTCCCGGCTCGATTTCAGCTGGG